ATTACGCACACACTTGGTTGTGAATTATCTGATGTATGCTTAATGAAATGGACCCCCACCACCTCCACCCCTGGTGTCGTCCTGCGCTATTTTCGCATATCTGAATGCCCTCGTCAAAATCTGCCTTTTTCGCCCTTACTAACATACAGACGAACAGTGTTCTACCCTGCCGCGTTTGGGTTCGCCCCCGCGCCTTGGAACCCGCCCACGATATGCCGACGGTTGATGTCGGAGCAGCATGGATATGACCTGTCGTATTCATGCGTCTCTCATGTGACACACACATGCTACACACCAGGGAGGACGAGTTTCCTCAATCGCTGTCGGGGGGTGCCCTCCCTGACCATGCTATGTGGCTCTTACTGCGGCGTTTTTTACGCTGCTGCGTGGACATGGGTGACGGTCGTGGCCATAGGGTACAACGGGATTCGTCTGAACGCCGGGGGTGAGGGCTTCGGGGTTTTGAAGGAGCAGGGCATGAGAAGGGTATGTGGTAATTAGTGAATATTGATGAAAATCTCTTGGGTAGTCGATGCTTCCGCCATGTCGTACTGCTTGTTCCGTCCACGCTCATCATTGAACTTATTTTGCCCTATGTGCATGGCCGTGCGTGTTGTGACGTTTTTTGTGCCGGATATGCATCCTGTCTTTTCTCACCCCCCGCCCCCCATCTGACCCCCTCCCGCTCCCTTTCCCTTTTTCCCCACCTTCCTTAACCCACGGCCTCCCCCCGGAGGCGCTCGTCCACCTTCTCCTTTGGTCCGAATGTTTCCCTTTGCTTCTCCCTTCAGTTTCCTCTTTCTTTTCTCTGATTTCCTGTTCCTTTTTCGTCTTCTCTCCTCTCCTCTTTTTTTCTCTTTTTTCCTTTATCCGGCAACATTGCTTCTTGCTCTCCTACTCCTGTGGTTGTTTACTGGTCGCGTTCTTCTCCTGTTATATCCCTTCCGGTGGTCTTCCCGATCGATCGCTTCGCTAGCCCCCCCCAAAAGAGGCGACCCCCGGGGGATGGTGGAATGAGATCACGTTTCGATACCCATGGCTGACAGGGTGTACCTGCCCTGCAAAACTTACACAGGCACTGTTTGCGTGTGTCAACCCCGGCGTCATCGGTGCTATCAAGGAAAAATGGGACACCGGCAACTATCCTCATTTTTTTGACATGATAGGTTTTAATGACCTTGCCGTCCTTGCGGGTGCTTGGGATAAGAACAGGGAGGAGTTTGATGACGAGCTTAGGGTCCTGTGCGAGAAGTTGGAGTTAAGGAAGCAGGAATACACGAAGGAGTGTAGGGAACTCGCGGAGAGGGTGGCGAGGGTCGAACAGATCTTTTTGAGAATCTGGGGGTTGGATGACTCTCACCTAGACGGTAAGGTACCCGAAACCCCTGATCTTAATCCTCCCGTCAATCACGACACTCCTGCCACACGTTGCGATGATCTCGCGATTGAGGAGGAGGAAAGGATTGAGATGGAATTGGCAATTGCCGCCATTACGGCCTCCATCCGGGATTCTCCACTCACGACTGAAAGGGTAGGAGGTAGTGCGTCGGAACGTGATCAGTACACCGCGTTTGCACCTCTCGCATCTGCTTTTTGGGTTGAGCATACGTCCACCGGCCACAAACACGCGATATGGAAAATGGACACTTTCAACCACCTCGCACCGATCTCCATACGGGCATTCCAGTTTCTGGGGAACATCACAGACGAGCAGGTTAGGCAATGCAGGGCACAAATATTAAAAGGGAAGCTGAAATACTGTGGCAGGGTTACTCCTCTGGATCCGCAGGATCTCAAGTTCCCCCCTATGCGCGAGTTGGATCCGGACAAGTGTGGGGAGTCCAGTTCAGGCATGTGGCAGAAGGGCATCAGGCAGGAAGGCAAGCCGGAGCTCAGGGCTTTGAGGAAGGTATGGAGTGTAGGACGACCTTACTTGAAGTGTAAGTGCAAGAGAGAAAAGAACAAGGACTGTGGGGATACGCCTCTTTGGTTTGATCACGCGATCTGGTACCTATTAGCGCATCCGGACATTCTCTTCCCAACTATGTCCTCGATCAAACTCCGCACGTCGATGCTTATACACTATCTTAGAACTACCTGGAGGGATGGTGTGCTTGCGGCAATCGGTTTTCACTTCCTCAGGGACCTGATGATCGGCTTCGTTAAAGAACTTGAGGCCGACACAACCCTGAACGCCGAGAGCGTACTAAAGGAGGATCGCCTCTGGAATTACCCCATCCCGGCTGCGCTCGCACGAATTATGCTCCCAACACGGATTCCTGAGAAACCATCGAGATTCCCGCTTGCCTCTCCATGAGCTGTGGCGAGAAAGAGGGGTGTAGGGGCGCAAGTTCCGGGCCAATCCACGCTGAACTTTCAGAGGATCCGCCCTGCGGAGGGCGCTCCTTCTTCCCCGCCACCTCCTCCTCCTCCTCCCCCTTCCCCCATGCCTCCTCCTCCCCCTCCTCCCCCTCTTCCACAGCAACCTCTGGTAATGATGGCCGCGGGGAATGGACCGGTGGCGAATGAACCGCGTCTGGCTGGCGCTGCTCGCGATCCTCCTTCAGCAGGGGGGCAACGAGCGGTCCCACTGCCTGCCGCTTGGGCACCAGTTCTTGCCTCCCCTGTCCCTTCCGTTCAGCACCCCCTGATGATTATCAGAGGGCTCACCCCACCACCGATTATCCACATCTCGCCAGGAAGCTCCGCGCAGTCCACACTCACCCAGCCGGATAAGAGAAGGAGAAAGAACGCGGGTGGTAGGGGTGGGGGTAGGGGTGGTGCTTGCACCACCGGCAGGCGCTCCGCGAGGGCGTGATATCTTTAAGTCACTACCCTCCTCTCCACCCCTTCTCACGTTTCCTCTCAACATTCCCTCTGCTGGTAATTTTTCCTCTCGATTCTTTCATATTTCCGTCTTTGATGATTTATGTTTTTTCTTTCTTTCGTTTTTTTCCCCAACACACTCCGTATCTTGTACATTGAGCGCAGGATCCAAGCTGCTGGGTTGACGCTCCCAGCCAGATGATTACCCTTCCGAACGGCAGAAGAGCATGGAAGAGACAAAAGTCGGAGTGTGAGTTTTTTCTGCACCTGAGGTATACCAGCCGCATCATGGAACCGCTCTCGATCCGGAAGCTTCTCAATGAGGTCCTTAGTAGGATTATTGGTGATGACACGGCGACTTGGTTGGAGCGTACCAGAATCGACTGGACCTACAACTGCAGCACAGCCTCAAAGTTGTGCAGACCGGCAGAGGTTTTCTGTGAATTCGACGTAGCACGCTGGATGGACAGCTATGATCCGGAGCATTGCCCCTGCAGGGCACAGAGATATGCGGACATGTGCAGCACATGGTCAATCGAGCTACTCCAGAGCGAAGGCTACACGCACGTCATTACCCTGGATTCGTCCATTACGGACAATCCATCGCTTCAGGGGATCATGAATGCTGGCCTCAATCATATCCCCTGCATGGCCCTAGATACGGATGAGGCAACCACCGAGCTGGGGAACTTCTTGGACGATCTTTTTGCACGGGTGTTGGAACTGCGCGAGCTCACTAATTCCACCAAGTCGTTTTTGCGCAGGGTCATCCTGAAGAAGGCGAAAGGGAAAATGAAGAAGTATCGCATGGCGCACAGACACGCTACTCCGAAACCGTTTGAGCATCCGACGGTTAAGAAGGAGCTGGAGTTCTTGACACGCAGATTTCTCATCTGCCCAACTGATAAGGCCCCTAACACCCCGACCTTTGTACGCAAGAACTTCATCCGGAAGCTCGCCTTCCAGAGGCTGTCAGGACTGGAGTTCGCCTGCGTCAACGCCTCTCTCGCGGCGATCCTTACGAGCATACGTGGTGAGCTCTCCGCATTCCCCGCACTTCCTGCGGCACCTACGACGCTTCCGTACCTCATCACGGTGCTGAAGGCGCACAAGGGCACCTTTCGGTGGATCACGAATACCGCCAACACCATCATCTCGCCTGCAGCTGAAGTATGCGTCTGCCTGCTACAATTCCTACTTCCGCTTGTGCAAACTTTCTGTCTGGAAAGGAGCGTGGAGGTGCAGCAGCAACACGGGGTGAAACCCAACCTATGGCGGGCCATAAACTCGGTGGGCAAATTCTGTGCGAACTTACCTGAGAGAGTCTACTCGGTGTTCACGGCCGATATTACTAGGTGCTTTGAGACCATCCCCACGGACGGCTCTGAGGACAGTCTCTCGGCGGCAGTCAGATTCTATGTGCAGTGTGCAATGCGGGTCAGGAGGGAGAGAAGCCCTAGCCACGCTATCCGGATCAGGTTTGGAGGGAACGACAATCCTTGGCCGTCGTGGGCGGATGCTGATCAGCCGGAGGAGATGGGGGCGCTGCTATTCAAAGAAGAGGACATCTGCTGGATTACGGACTGGTGCATTGCAAACAGCTTGCTGCGCATGGGAGATTACGTGTGGAGGCAGGTGAGGGGCATTCCCATGGGGTTGGCGTGCTCTCCCATCTGGTGTGACATATACTTTTTCAAGTATGAGTATCACGCCATGATGAAGCTTGTGGACACAGGGGATGTCCACTTGATCCCATGCTTTGACAACACCTGCAGATACATTGACGATCTGGGGGCGGTTAACAACACGGTCATCGGCGGGTTTCTGCACAAGAAGGAGGATAGACAGGCGGATGATCCATGTTGGATATGTCCGGAGGAATACATTGAGATAAAGGAGAATACGGAGGTTAGTGAGGATGGAGTCGGGCTGGTTGCTAATTTCCTCAGTATGACAGTTACCATCACCTGCCCCATCACCGTCGCTTACTCCACCACCAAGCATGACAAGCGTGTTGGACTCGGTTTTTCTCCCTGTAAGTTCATAAAGTACAAATCTAACAGGAGCGTCAAGCAATCGCTGCAGATCATTACGGCGCAGGTGGCACAGATTCTCCTACTATGCTTTGAGCCGGAGGACGCAGCAAATGAGATCGCAAAGGTCGTGACGGCAATGACGGAGAATGGTTTTTCTGCGGAGTCTTGTTGGAAGGTGGTCAAGAGGACCCTCCGGAGGGCGCATATCTACCAACCGGGTAGATTATCGGTACACGTGGTTAAGGAGACCCTTTCAAATCTATATGGGATTACTGACTAACGTGTTGTGATTGTGTTTGTGTATGTGCGTTTGTGTGTGTATCGTGTCCGGGGGATGACCTGGCCAAAGGGGCCGGTTGTCCTCCGGGCATCCGACCCCCAGAGCCCAGGTTATACCTCGGAGGGTACGGGGTGGGACACACACACACACACACACACACACACACACACACACACACACACACGCATACAGGTGGAGGGACGACACAGGGAGCAGGAATACGGCCGTGAGGGAACACTGCTGGAACCACAAGAATGGAACTCCCCCTCCTT